AAATACTCATTTGCCTAATAATTCTGCACTCCCTGTACTTGTTAAATGAAAAAAATTGGCAAAAAAATATAACAGCCACACAATTACCCGTAGAGAGGGTGAAAAAACAACTCTATTGAGGCTGTTTCCAAAGAGTAATATGGGACCTCTTAATAGGATAAAGTTAATCATATATGATTGGATTTTATAGTGAGCACTGAGAGGGAGTCAGAAGTGGGGTCAAAAGGGGATGGTCGGAACAGAAGGAACGATAGCTCACAGCCCAGCGTAAACGCGAGTTGCTGTATTAGGGCTTGATTTATTTGTTTGATTTATTTGTTGTGGATACAAGTAATTATGCTATAGTAATAAGGGAACATTGAAAATGTACAACTCGTTGAGGGGATGGAGGACCTAAAGAGTTGGGCAATTGAAAGGAATATGCTAGAATATAACATTTTCTTTTGTTATATTCTAGCTATTATTCTCACATGAAAGTAGACTTAATGGGATAGATTAGGAATTATGTCGTGTTTCTTGGGAAACACGAAACGGGGAAGAACTGTCATGAAATAAATATATTGTTAGTCCTTATTTAGTGTTTATTGTTACTTGCTTTTAATATAGTTTAAAAGGGCCGTCTCTTAGTACAGTCTGTTCCAAAAGTACTGACAGGATATTACATGCATACCTTTGCAGGCAGAAAGTGAAACGAAGCAGAGTGTTTGATTGAAACTTAAAGTGTGGTGTGACGTCTAGAGGGAGTATATAAATATAACTAGGCTTCCTGTTTGTGCTTCAGACTTTGGCTGACGTGTCTGTGTGTCTGCTGGGTCTCCATATTCCGGAATATGTAAAATTAAAGATCATTTTTCGAGTTTGACCACTTTGAGCAGTTTTGTCTTTTTGGCCGTAAAGAATATAAAAGAACCGGATTTAATACCGGGCAGATAACCGTATCAACATATGAGGTAAAAGTACATAAAAAAAGCTGAATTAAAACTAAGTGTTAAGAAAGGTGAAGCACTAGAGCGACATGAGGAAAAAGCTCTCGAATATGATCAATCTTCTCTCTTTGGGGAGTCTGCTGACCATTCTTATCTGGTACAAGTTCGAGGACAGGTGAGTGAGTACTTTTGTATTTTACAGATAAAAGCCAGAATTCATGAAACAAAGTATTCTGATCAAAAGTAGCTTATGGCACTGTGATAAACGCTTCCCAACAGTTGGGAAGCTGCGTAAAATGCTAATATAAGCCTGAGGTTGCAGAAATACAAACATGCTTAATTTAAGTAGAAATACACATTTCATATTTGTTAAAAAATACTCTGGTAAAAGCTGAAGTACATGTCTTCATGTCTTTGTCATTCATTCTTTCACACGTAACCACAAACCTCAGCTCTCACTCTATATTTCCTTCTAAGGGAATAACATAGTATTTGGTATGTTTGTTTTGTTTGCATTGTTCTTTTGATACGAGTTTTGTTGTGCAGTGAAAATAAGGTTAGAGTCACATGACCGGTTTACTCTGACTACACAACATTATTGGTACTGATTTGTAAATAACTGGACATGAATAACTTGTATATTACGTAGTATTACACAAAAGTATATTTCTAATTAACTTGGCTGCACTTAATTTCTTTTGACAATACTTTTTTTTTTAGTTAGGATTCATTTTGAAAGAAAGGCAGACGTAAAATGTAAAGTGAAATACAAACTCATATATAGTATGGTGTTGTAAAGAGCTGAGAAACCACAAAGTGGGGAATCTACAAAGAGGTACTGAACCTTCAGATGTTGCTGTAGCTCAAGCGAGACATAGAGGACCTTCTTTCATTCAGCACATAATAAAAAACCAACCAACACTGCGCTTCCAATGGGGTCAGTAACCCTGCACATGCCTTCACTTATTGTGTAACAAATCTTTTTTACCAACAACTGTAAATCAAATCAACACTGCACTATTGGTAGAAAAGACCTATAACAGCTATCTGGTAGTTCCTGTATTCCTGTATTTATGTGTCCTTACAGGCACAATCGCACACGTTTACACACAAATGTTACCAGAAACATATTCCGATTACTATATGCAGATATACTATACGTGTTTCTTACTGTCACTGTTGATATTGATTATATAAAGCCATATAGGAATGCTAAATGGGGATTCTAAATATCAACTTACTCTGGACCGCTTCTTCAAGTTCCAATAAGGTTAATTCTTTTATCATTAAAACTATACTTAAAACTTCAATTCCTTTTGTTTGCAGTGACAGCATTTAGGGAATTCTATTGGTATCTAGCGATGGTTAATATCACACTCTAGCTTGTAACCAAATATCATGTCACATTTGAGCTCTGACTTTTACACTGACTCACTGATTTTTAAACACCCTCATCATCTTAAATTGAAACTGATCTCTGGCACCACTGATGTGACTGAACTATGACTGTAAACACGAAAGCTGTTCTGCAACTGTTACACAAAACAGCAATACTGTAAACTTCAATACAATACTGCAGACTAACCAAATTTCCCCTTGTGGGGACAATTAAAGGATTATTCTATTCTATTCTGTTTAGCCTACACCAAACTGTCTGTGCTTTATAGCACAGCAGCTGCCAATAACACAGTTGGTATATTCGAGTTGACATTTAAGACTATTAAAAAACAAAACAAAACAAACAAACAAAAACCTCATTGTTTATAGACACAATATCTGATACAAACATCTCTCAAGTGAATTA